GGATTTATGCTTTGATAATCGTACTGAATATTATCCAGATGTAGTTTTTGATAAAAAATATTATTTTCTCACCTTTTTGCTCAGAATTATGCATTTTTTATGAAACCTACCTATATTCAAGAGTTGATAAAAAAAAAGAATGCTTTAAGCTAGAATAAAACTGAATAAAAATTTTTTTGTTTAAAAGTAGAGGCTCTGATCTTTATTTTGGTGATTGCATATTCAAATATTCATACAGCAAAATATTCTGGAGGCCATCAAATTTTAGTGAAAATCATCAAAATCGCTGGCGGTGGCTGGCAACTTTTTTCAAAAATGCTGGCGGGGAAAGAGTTAACGACGGGCAAAATGCTGCTCTTTTTTTGCTGAAAATGTACTCACTCTCGGGCCATCTAAGATGGAGATGTGTTTGTTTCTTCATTGGAACAGATTTGGAGAAATGTAGCATTGCGTCACAGTTAAAAATATTTTAATGATAGATTTGTTTCTTACAAAAATGCAGCTTTTTCGCTTCACGAGACATTCATTGATGGACAGGATTTGTGTGGATTACTTGTGGATTATTGTGATGTTTTTATCAGCTGTTTGGACTCTCATTCTGACGGCACCCATTCACCGCAAAGGATCTATTTGGTGAGCAAGTGACGTAATGCTAAATTTCCCCAAATCTGTTCCGATGAAGAAACAAACTCATCTACATATTGGATGGCCTAAAGGTGAGTACATTTTCAGCAAATTTCTTAAAATTCCTTTAAGAAATGTAATATGTTTATTATGAGTTACAGTTACTCATTCAACCAATTATTCAATTTACGTTTCCATTTTTTGCTGCTTTTAGTTTAGATATTTTAGTGGTGATGCTTTAATTAACATGCTACACATTAGCTATAATATATTTTGCATGGTGAAACTCATCCAGGAGTTGCGTCGTTAAATTCACCTTGTTTAAACACGTCACTATAAGCTATACACATTCAGAAATACGTCTTTGGCTGTTGCACTGTGTATCACATAGGGGTGGGCGATATACCGGTAGAAATTTGTCAATGGGTAGAGATTTTGGACTATCGTCTCTATTGCGGTTAAACACTCACGTGATGTTGCTGTGCTACGTGGTCACGAAAACTTTTCATTTGCACGCATTTTTAAGTATTGCGGTTTAAAAACAAGTGATGTTAAGCCATTGAAATGCAATCAGCAGCGCAATGGTTTCGCTATTTGTGCGCAATGTCTGAGAGACATCGAGAGACAGAGATATTGAACAAAGTTATTTTATAGGCTTTGAACGGTTAAATAGACACACTTGTATGTCAAAATGCCCATCTTTGCAAATATCTTCATAAACACAGTAATTTAGGTCTTAAGTAATAGCAAACAGCTGAGAAAGAAAACGCATGTGTAACAGTATATTGAATCCGGGCAGCTCTTAAAGTGACAGCAGTCTAATATTCCTGCTGTCTGTCATTCATGTTATCAAACAACAAAAGAGAGAAAATCTCTCACTGCTTTTGACTTTCGTAACTTTAATGAGAAGAAATATATATATTTAATTTACACAGTGAAGAATATGCAGTGTTTTTATACATTTTGATTACTTATACAATGTCTGTAACATTTGTTATTTATTTGTTCCACTGTAGTTTTTTTTTTTGTCCTGTTGCTTGTAATTAGTGTCTTATTCTTATTTAATCGCTGACTGTTTACTTGTCTTCAGTGAGCTTGAGTTTTTTTTTTTTCTCGGCTAGTATTCGTTTTTTGTGATATTGACACTGATGACAAGAATTATGACATTTCAATGGTATCAAAAAATGTGATATCATAAAGACCAAAAATAACAATATTGTGATGTATTTTGTTACAGAGAAATACAATTATTGATTTTGGTCATATCGCCCACCCCTAGTATGGCAATGTTTTTTAGTGTCTCAGCCATTTTTATGACAACATATGAAGTTAAAATAACTTTTAAAATAATGTCATTTAAACATAAAATTTTAAAACATTTTTAAAACCATGCCTTAAAAGCTGTTTTTGAACGCAAAAACACATTTTATGTAGACGCCCAAAAAGAAACGTGTTCAAGACTTCCTTAAGACTTATCAATAAACTAGTTAATTTCGAATTACCAAACTATTTTGCACTTCTCAGCAAGACGTACCAACTAGCCAATATATATATATATATATATTTTAGATTTTCTAGTCTGTTAATGCTTGGCAGAGCAGACTTGGCAAAGTCGCAGGTACACATTTGGTGGTAGGAGAGTGTTAACTTTAGACCCTGGTGGCAACTGTACAAGTTTAAACGCAATTTCAGCAACGCTGGACTGCACGTACATAAAGAAATAAGTTAAGAAGTGAGAGAGAATATGCTTCCCAACACACTTTCCCTGGAGAGACTGAGGCAGTGAGCATTTAGTATGATACTGACCTCTTATATCCTGCAAAGAAGACTTCCTGAAAGAAGGAAAACTGAGAGGCGAGATTCACTATCCAAGTGTGAGATGGCAGGGTGATATGTCGCATGAAGTTTTTAGTGAATGTGTTTCATCAACAGTTTAATTGCAGAGCCTCCTCAACCGCTGCGTGCAGGAGAACGGTTTGAATGGAAAGACTATTGAGGCGTCACATGTAGGAGGGAGGAGGAGGGGGAATGTTGGGTTAACAGTCTTTATAACCTCCGCATTCACTTTGGTCATCCACGACCTGGCCATATTCCTCATAATAACAGTTCACGCACAAACTGTTTGGCTTTGTTTTCGTAACCCCACATTTCTCCTTCGGCTTCCCTCCGCGTTCCACGTGAAAGGGAGGATTCTCACTCATCGTCCAGCACCTCTGTCTTGATGTCACTGGTGGCTCCGCCGTGCCTCGCCAGTGCCAGGATGCTGTGATTGACAGCGGCCATCTCCACTGCCAAAGCTATGGGGTCCTGGTGTTCGTTTGGGCCGGGGTTGTCATCCTATAAGGAAGCAGAGAACCAGAGATTGGTCTGAAGCCCTCTGCTTTTGCCTCTGCAAACCTGTTTGAATGACTTTGTGTCATTAAAAGACAAAAGAGCATGAAATAGTTCATATAACTCATGGTGTATTAGTACCATTTTGGAATTTTGGCTGATTTTTAAAAATGTATTTATTGGATTTATATTGGCTGGTATTGGACATTTAATTGTGCATTTTCATTTTCCCCATTTTCAAATTTAGACTGACCTCTGCTGTCATTCCTAAATTCATACGCAGCATTTAAAATTATTTATTTTATTTACAAAATAGCATTACATTTCCATATCAACCATTTAGTGATTATCAGCCATAACATGACAATAATTATTAGCTAATCTGTATTAGCTGGAATTTTTTAATTAATATATGATAAAATATATTATATATGAATCATATACTATCATAATATATATATATATATATATATATATAAAAAATTAGAATAGAATTTCAATATTGGACATTTAGTGAGTATCAGCCATAACAACATGAGAGTAATTATTATCTAATTGGTATTGGCCAATTAAATAAATTAAAAAAGACAAAAAAAATGTATCAAATAAAATATTATTATATATAATGTAACATTATTCAAAAAAATAAAAAAATAATTACATTCTAAAATGAAATTATCATTATCATTTTTTAAAAATTAAAATATAGGCCTTCCTAGCAAAAATATGTAGGAATGGTTAATTTATTTAAAAAAAAAAATTCCCTTACCATTCCCAAAACTTGGTCAGCAGCTACTGGCTCACCGTAGTCATTTCCATCGATCTCATCGCTGTTGGAATGACCTCCCGGGCTTTGGACATCAATCCCATGACTCTCCAGGATTGCTGCTTCTTAGAAAAAAACAGACCTTGCCATAACATATCTGAGCCCATTAGGATGTACCCAACATGATGGAACTGAATTTTCTGAAAGGCATTTTTCTGTAAATTCAATATTTCTGATGAATGCACATTTTGAATGAGACAGCTGCAGCATGGCGATAACAACGCAATGGAAATAATTACATTGTCCATATTCAAAATGCATTGTTGCGTGTAATTCGAGCTTTGTTTGTCCCCAGAGGGCTTCAACATTACCTATGTTGGCTCTTCTCTTAATTTCCTTCCGTCTGTTGGCAAACCAGTTGTAAACTTTCAGAGACGTGACGGTTAACAGTCTTTATAACCTCCGCATTCACTTTGGTCATCCACGACCTGGCCATATTCCTCATAATAACAGTTCACGCACAAACTGTTTGGCTTTGTTTTCGTAACCCCACATTTCTCCTTCGGCTTCCCTCCGCGTTCCACGTGAAAGGGAGGATTCTCACTCATCGTCCAGCACCTCTGTCTTGATGTCACTGGTGGCTCCGCCGTGCCTCGCCAGTGCCAGGATGCTGTGATTGACAGCGGCCATCTCCACTGCCAAAGCTATGGGGTCCTGGTGTTCGTTTGGGCCGGGGTTGTCATCCTATAAGGAAGCAGAGAACCAGAGATTGGTCTGAAGCCCTCTGCTTTTGCCTCTGCAAACCTGTTTGAATGACTTTGTGTCATTAAAAGACAAAAGAGCATGAAATAGTTCATATAACTCATGGTGTATTAGTACCATTTTGGAATTTTGGCTGATTTTTAAAAATGTATTTATTGGATTTATATTGGCTGGTATTGGACATTTAATTGTGCATTTTCATTTTCCCCATTTTCAAATTTAGACTGACCTCTGCTGTCATTCCTAAATTCATACGCAGCATTTAAAATTATTTATTTTATTTACAAAATAGCATTACATTTCCATATCAACCATATAGTGATTATCAGCCATAACATGACAATAATTATTAGCTAATTGGTTTTAGGCAGAATTTTAAATTAATCTAGGATCAAATATATGAAAAAATATACATGATATAAATATAAAATATGATATACTAAATAGTATACTTATATATATATATATATATATATATAAAAAATTAGAATAGAATTTCAATATTGGACATTTAGTGAGTATCAGCCATAACAACATGAGAGTAATTATTATCTAATTGGTATTGGCCAATTAAATAAATTAAAAAAGACAAAAAAAATGTATCAAATAAAATATTATTATATATAATGTAACATTATTCAAAAAAATAAAAAAATAATTACATTCTAAAATGAAATTATCATTATCATTTTTTAAAAATTAAAATATAGGCCTTCCTAGCAAAAATATGTAGGAATGGTTAATTTATTTAAAAAAAAAAATTCCCTTACCATTCCCAAAACTTGGTCAGCAGCTACTGGCTCACCGTAGTCATTTCCATCGATCTCATCGCTGTTGGAATGACCTCCCGGGCTTTGGACATCAATCCCATGACTCTCCAGGATTGCTGCTTCTTAGAAAAAAACAGACCTTGCCATAACATATCTGAGCCCATTAGGATGTACCCAACATGATGGAACTGAATTTTCTGAAAGGCATTTTTCTGTAAATTCAATATTTCTGATGAATGCACATTTTGAATGAGACAGCTGCAGCATGGCGATAACAACGCAATGGAAATAATTACATTGTCCATATTCAAAATGCATTGTTGCGTGTAATTCGAGCTTTGTTTGTCCCCAGAGGGCTTCAACATTACCTATGTTGGCTCTTCTCTTAATTTCCTTCCGTCTGTTGGCAAACCAGTTGTAAACTTTCAGAGACGTGACTCTCTCAAGATCTGAAAGCTTCTTCCCTTAATCAAATCACAGCAGAGCTCATCAATAACGTCTGGGGCCATGATAACAGGCATTTACACATGCATTCATCTTCTTTATGGAGCTTGAGTTTAAACATTCTACCTGGTTTCTGAATAACTGCATTGCAGGCGTTGGCAATTTCCTCTCGCTTGGCTTCATCGGGGTACTGGTTGTCATTGAAATAACTTGTGCGAAAACAGAAGATAAACATAGTGTAAGGCAGATAGCCTTTTTATAAAACATTTCATAGCTTTAAATATATGCTTGCATTATGTCTTTGTTCAATCTAGATTTAGGTTGATTGTTTTACAGTTGTCACAATACCAACATTTCAGTAGTCAATACCAGTCAAATTTCACAATTCTTGATAATAGTTAAGATACCACAGCAAACTATATGTACAGCATCATTAGATTCATTTAAAGAGCTAATTATTAATATAAACACTAACATACTGAATTAAACAATGGCACACATTCTTACATATCTGTCAATGAAGATGACATTTTTTTCCAAGTATATAATTCAAGTAAATACACAGTAATCAGTAAAATAAATGAACACTTTACAATGAGGTTCAAAATGCCTTAGTTAATACATTAGGTGTCATGAACCAGTAATGAACAGTACTTTTACAGAATTCAATTATCTAGGTTCATGTATATTTCTACATACTAAATTGATACATTTTTAACATTTCAAGCTGTATAAATTAACATTGACTACTGTATTATGAACAAACACACATTAACAATGAATAAACAATAGTATGTTTATCAATGAAAATAAATTGTGATTATTAAAAGCTGTAGAAAATGTTTGTTGTTCAATCCTGTTACCACCTGTGATTCTGCATTATAAACAACTATCCATTAAACAATGAATTATTGAAATGGGGATATTTGCAGAAATGAGTATTACATCAATTAATTTATTAATTAGCATTTACTTTCTAATAAGAATCTTGTAGTGTCATGACCTTGAGGACGAAGCTAGTAATGCTTGACAGGACTGTTAAACACTAAACAGCAAAAAAAAGGTAAAACTCCCTTAGTTAACATTAGCTAATGGATTAACTAAAATTAATTAACAATAAAGATTTGTTACAGTATTTACACATTTTTGCTATACTAACTCAGGTCCATTAAATAATGTTAACAGATATAACTTTCAATTTTATTACTGTATTAATGAGCATTAAAATTAACAATGATAAATTACTTAAGAATGATTTTTCATTGTTTGTTCTTGTTCACTAATGTAGTTAACTAATGTTAACAATTGGAATCTTCTTGTAAAGTGTTACCTCAAAGATCAGTTTCAAAATCGAAAGGTCATCCATTATCCTGGAACGACCCACAATGCCCTGTCCTGACCATTCACACAATTGAGCACATCCTCTCACCTCTCCATCACCGCCAGACACTCTTTCCTCCAGGTGAAGCGGCTGCCGCGCCGCAGACGGAAGCTGCCCTGGGTGCTGCTAATGGGAGGAGGGGTTTGACGCCACTCCACGATGTCCTCCAGGGCCATCGGGGCGGGCCGCATCGCTAGTGTTGCACCTGGGACACAAACATGACGTGTCATCTCAGATGAAGTGTCGTGAGGAAAACAGTCTGTGTGCTTCTGAGGAGACCAAAGCCTTTTCACTGGTCCGGAAGCACATGATAATGAGAAAACCGGCACTCTGGGGTTTGGGTCATGACCTTCTAATCTATTCACTGAATGTCTGATATCTTCCCTCAGATCAGCCTGGAAAAAACTGAAGGAGCACAAGAGGTTTTCTAAAATTAAAGGCTTTGGAGAACAGTTTATTCTTTTTTGTCAGTGCCATTTAATGCTGTATACATGAATATATTAAAAGGTACAGTTCACCCAAAAATGGAAATTTTGTCATCATTTACTCACCCTCAAGTTGTTCCCAACCTGTATGAACTTCTTTCTTCTATTAAACACAAAAGGAGATATTTTGAAGAATGTTGGTATCTTTTGACGGTAGCCTTTGACTTCCAAAGTATTTTTTTTCCATACTACTACTTGAGGGTGAGTAAATGACAGAATTTTCATTTTTGGGTGAACTTTTCTTTTAAAGGGATACTCCACCCCAAAATGAAAATTTTGTCATTAATCACTTACCCCCATGTCGTTCCAAACCCGTAAAAGCTTCGTTCGTCTTCGGAACACAATTTAAGATATTTTGGATGAAAACCGGGAGACTTGTGACTGTCCCATTGACTGCCAAGTAAATTACACTGTCAAGGTCCAGAAAAGTATGAAAGACATCGTCAGAATAGTCCATCTGCCATCAGTGGTTCAACTGTTTTTGTTCAAATCAAAGCGTAAATACACGTAGAAAACGTATCCTTGTGTCGCGGCTGACACAGAAGAGTGTACGCTGCTTGCGTTCAGCGGATATTCTCCAAAATGGCGAATTGGTGAATAAAGTCGTTCTTTTTTTTTCTTCGCGTACAAAAAGTATTCTCGTCGCTTCATAATGTTACGGTTGAACCACTGATGGCAGATGGACTATTCTGACGATGTCTTTCATACTTTTCTGGACCTTGACAGTGTAATTTACTTGGCAGTCAATGGGACAGTCACAAGTCTCCCGGTTTTCATCCAAAATATCTTAAATTGTGTTCCGAAGACGAACGAAGCTTTTACGGGTTTGGAACGACATGGGGGTAAGTGATTAATGACAAAATTTTCATTTTGGGGTGGAGTATCCCTTTAAGGTTTATATTAAGCACCATTTAATGTTGCAAAAATATTAAACATTCAAAATTCAATATAAAAGCAAATTAAAACAGTATAAGTATTAAATGACAAAACAATAAAATAAATCATACATATGGCAACTTGTAAAATCTAAATTTTGGAAAGGCCTCACTGCTTGTTTTACCCAATTTTGCAATCACAAAATATCATTTGGTTTATACAGAATTATGATTTCTATGATTTTATATTTTTAATTGTCATATTGTGTTGTATAGAAAGAATCTATAAAAATAAATAAATAAACAATAATAATAATATACAAATTATGAACTATTTAACCACCCCAATGTTTTGTAACTTTGCAAAGCAGCGCTGTATTGATATTACTTATCATATTATGATAGATATTATGACATGCCCACTGCATACACATAGGTACACCAGAGAGGACCTTAGTGAATCTTTCCTCCTCACAGGGCCGTATTATGTGTTAGCTATTAAGTTTCTATACTATTTTGTGTAAATAAATAACCTAAACATAAAATCGATCATTTTAAAACTGACTTCACACATCACAACATTATAATGTACAGCATTAAAAAATACATATTCATTTTGAGATTTGATAAAGATTAAATTTGTGCTTTTTTAATTAAGTGAGCATTGCAAAACATAGTATGAAATGTAAAAACGGGAAATTAGCATGTACACAATCATTAAATTAAGTTAAGACTTGCATTACACAAGTAGGATATGATATGATATGTTAGAACAACATTTTTATCAGCCAAAGAGGTCTTAGGTTTAAAGTTATTAGATGATAGAAACATTAGAAAG